ATAGATAGATAGATAGATAGATAGATAGATAGATAGATAGATAGATAGATAGAAACAGATTGATTGGGCCTTTGAAGCATGGTCATTGAGGGACTGAAATAATCAAGACCTCTGTGTTGCATCTCGTTTCTCTTGGCTGAGTAGTGTCCTCTTGATTGCAGGTCTGTTGAAAGGGGTCATAAAGTAGCAGAGTACACCAATTATAATCACTTGTTCCTTTCAGGCTCACTAGTGATTTGCACAACATCAGTTCACCGATATCATCACAAAAAAGGCCACTGACTTAATGATAACTACGTATCTGTTAAAAACTTCAAAACATGTTTTCTTAAACTGGGGTAATACATTTTTATCTATCTTTAGGATCACTAGGGGACTTAAATGTTCCTTGACTTCACACCGGAGGTACAATGTGATCAAATTATCTGAGCTGATCGCATGAGTGACCTCAGTCAGGGCAAGGGCTCTGACATTCTTAACAGATTAAATACACTGTTTCCATAGAAATGCTCATTCATCTCAAACCCTTTTTAGTGAAACCATAGACCTAATGGCAAAAGATGAACTAGTTGGTGAATTCAAACCAAATAATTATAGAGATAAAACCACATAGTTTGTCAAGTACCACACATAAAGAGGTGTCGTTGAAGATGAATGATAGTCGAACCTTCATCCTCATGAGTCATTTAATTTGAAAGAGATTTGGAAAAGAGAGTATTCATTAAAGAGCAAAAATGGCTTCTTGGAAACGATAATAATCAAAGATGATGATAAGAATTGAGTTTCCGTGACAGCGCTCTTCAATTATTACCCAGGCTCATTAAATCTAATATGTATCATCACATTTAAATAACAATAACTAGGCTGAGATGGGGTTTTAACATTATTGCAACTATGATTCAGGTTGACTGTCTGGCCTCCTGTCTACACCTGTCTTTAAAACAGCTGTCATCATATCTAAGCGGAGTTGAAAGTGAAATGTCACTTCATCCTCCCCATGAAGGTACCATTTGGAGCCAAATGCAGGAGGTAACTAATTAGATACAGATTTGTTTTTTTGCACAGATGCTGCTGATTTGGAATTTGAATAAAGCATAAATAAAGCCATCAGGCTCCAGATGGCTCCAATCCAAATTAAATAATGTCACGTTGAGCTGCCTGTTGCATCTCTCTCTCTCTCTCCATGTCAGTTGTATATAGTTCAAATTTGATAGAGGCCAAATACTGCTGAATGTTCTGGTTGGAGGCCAAGTCCTTGAGATTCAGAGGCGGATGAGTTGCTCCCAACTTGTTTCCTGTTATCTGTGCTGATGGTCAAAATCTAAATGACCACTTCCACCACTGTCTGCATTTTCCTCCATTTGGCAACTCCACCCTTGCAGACAGATGTAAACACTGTTCCCCTTCCACACCTGCATTATTTTCCCACCAGTTAAAAGCAAGTTTTAAAAATTTGTAGGCAATGCTTAAAAGCCAGGTCGGTGTATTTATATTTATAATAACATTACCAAATCTAATTAGAATAACGGCCAGAATTAAGCCAGAATCTTGTTGAAGTCTACAAAAAAGTTAGGGCTGTTTTCAATTCTTTCAGGTATTCAACAATGGTCTGATTTGTAACCTTACCTGATGTATATTCCATCCAACCTGAAAATAGAACAGTTTAAGAAGATCACTAAAACTCAAAATCATAAAATAGTTAATGGAGTGAGTGTATGTAAACGTGTGACTCTGCATATGTTTGCTGGTCCTATAAATTAGTAGAATTTTAATGTCTTTTAGGGTAGCCTGCCAGTAGGGGGAGTTATTTATTTTAGGTTGACGGGGGGCAGACTATTTACCAAAGGACTGCATCACCAAAGAGGTGTTTCTAAAAGACACATGTGTTTATAGTTTGGGAACATAGATACAGGGAGAACTGTTATTTCTAATATGTCCACCATCTAAAAGTCTCTAGAGCTTTTAGCTCTTCCTAGTTTGTTTACAAAGTAAACAACTTAACCATTCAATACATAATAATAAGGTTTTCTTCAAGACACAAGAAACATTGACATTTATTTAATGCAATACGAACAGAAAGAGTAAAAATGAACACATAGGTAGAAATACATAATACAAAAAAACAAATCTATATACAGCACCAAATATTAGAGGGCACAATAAGCAATACATTTAGTGACGTGACAAACCGACAGCTTAGCTGTCTACAAAGAGAAGGACGTAAGTCCCTGCAGCAGAGAGAGGTAGACTTTCCCTTTAAAAATTCAGAAGGCAGAAAATAAATCATTAACTTTCTCAGACAAAAAATATATCTGGTCACTACCCATCAACTTATACTGGCACATAATAGCTTAAAAATCAAATTTAAGCATTCCTATACAAACATAATATAGTCAGTGTGTACTGTAATGTGAAAAATGCACTGATATACAAGCCAAGGCAGGAATATAATACTGTCTACCTCATTTTTCTGTATTTTTGCAAGCACTACATCCTCCCAAGACGAATACTGATCTTACTTTCTTTCTGCTCCTCTGAGTGACAAGCTTTAGCAAAAATAAAGTTTAATATAAAGTGAGAGGTTCTTTTTGATAATTTTTCTGTTCAGCTCATTACAAACAATGTGTTGTTATGTATAGAAAACAATAGAGGCACAAAATCCCATTTTTTTTATCAAAGGGCCTCCCCTAAGTGAATAGATGTGAGGGTAGTTCACACACAGGCTGCGAAGGCAATGGGCTTGTTATGCCATCATCCAATCTAATGTAATGTAATTTTAGGTCTTCTGCTTTGCCTCTGTGTTCAAAGGAACCCGTTGCTCTGCACAAAAATAAACTGACATATGTAATGAAAAAAACAAGAGTAAGAAACTGGTTCGAATTTATTAAATTTTGCATAAGGCATTAGAATAGATTCAGAGAGGAGCTGCTCTAGTTCAGCTGAAACTGTCACTAAAACCACCAGTGATGCAGCATATAGCCTGTTAAATAATTACTTTCTTTTCAGGGTGACTGAATCTAATCTAGCTGCAGGCATACCACCATGTTCCCCCATAAATCTAAAAAAGCAAACACTTCCAAGATCTTAAGCTTGACCACAACTATTATTCAGTCCAATCGTGGTCAGGTTAGTATGCTAAACTAGATTAACAGTAAATGAGCATCATGGAAGGCAGGCAAAAGCCTGTTTGCAATTGGTAGGCTGAAGCTTGAGAAGGCCTGTGGC